AAAAGTGAACCACCTGAAAAAGAACACATTAAGTTTGGAGAACTCAATTTGGGATGTTAGCAGTTTCAATGTTTTTCTAGCAGTTTAAATATCAAAACAACCTTTTCAATTTGGGATGTTATCATATTTTAAAAGTCAAAACATCCGCTAATTGAATTTGGGAAGTTAGTATATTTGGTTGAATATCAAAACCACCACTTACAAGAAGTAAATCTGTTATGCTCATGATTGGTGAGGGTGACGAATCTTACCCAAAACAAGTATCTAAATTCTAAAAAAAATGTATTAAGACAAACAATGCATTGTATGTGATTTTGTTATCAATAAAGAAAAGTTATCATTCAAATAATAGGCTAAGTTAATAACCCAAATAAATAAAGAATAAAAAATCAGATGGCAAACTTGTAATGTAACATCCTCAAATTAGAGTACTGCTGATGCAGGGGATCCGAGATAGATGATGCTGAGCTGTCAGATTGCACGTTGATGGCGCTGAGATACCATGAGTTGGCAGATCAGCGCAAAGGCGGGAATTGATTGTGACATGTTTCTCATTGGGGTCGTTTTGAGTATGTTTCAGTCTTTTGGCATAACTTTGGCTACAGGTGTCAGAATCGCGCATAAGACCCCAATCCGGAAAGCTCTTTTCGACGCGCACGCTCTCCACATCGAGCTATACTCCATGTAACCTTTTTTTCAACCTCAAATTCTGCCGTTTTCCCCTCCGGATCACTAGATTTAGTTATTTTTTACTATTTATGGTAATATTTCGATTGTTAATTAGGAAGTCAATTTAAATCCGATTTAGGCCGGATTTTTGGGAGATTGCTTATTTTATTTCGAATTTCAATTTAGAGTGATTTTTGGGATTTTGCTATTTTTGGCAAAATTCGAATAAAGACGATTTTTGGCTATAACAGTCTGGCTTGTGGACTGCTTTTTGGGCATTGTTTTGATTTTATAATATTTTATTAAATCCTAGAGACTTTTTTCTCTGGTTTTTGGGCGAATTTTCTCTTGTGAATCGTCTGTCGGAGCTAGCCTACATGATAATCATTATTCTGTCTGGCGTCAGCAAACACAAATAAAAGAAATGCATTATGAGAAAATAAGAAATAAGAAATTAACATTCTTCATTTTAATAAATTTACTACAGAATTTAAAACATAGATGGTTTTATATCTGGAATTACAAACCAAATGTGGTTCTGTTACCTAAGAAATGGATCAAAGGAATTGAAGAACAACACATTCTCTATGAATTTTTGAGTAAAGAAAGCTACAATCTCACAATCTAAAGCTATTAAGAAGATATTCATGGAAGCAAAAGATAATATTATACTAGATGGAAGGAGAAATAGAACTCAAAAATTAAATTAGCGATGTTTGCATGTTATCAAGATAAGTATCAATCTACATCAACTAACAGCTTACAGCATAAACCATTACAATGCAATTAAAAGATCATGCTTGGTGGCAAATGTGCTGGTTCAGGAGCAATGCGAAATTGCTTATAATTTCTAAGAATTTCACATATTTTCAGCTGGTCGTAGCCACCTGTGCTGCGCTTCCATGAGTATCTGCTCAATATCTGCACCCAACAAGATCCTTTATTTTCAACAAAAATTAACACCCCTTGAGCTTAACCATTTTTCTTCCGCATAAAAGGTTTCGAATGAAGCTATTTATTCCATCTTTCAAACCAAACCTCACAAAATAAAAAATAAATTAAAGCCCACCTCGTGAACTAAAATATTAGCAAAATGGAGCAAACAGAACATCAAATGCAGTAAATTAAAACATGACAAATATAGCAGGAAAAAAAGAGCAAGATTCAACTTCCACTAAAAAACCCAAAATCAAAGATAATAGAAGAGCCATTTCCTGCTCTAGTCCTCGAAGATCCTCTATGCTTGCATCGTTCAAACATTCACCCATCTTTTGCCTGTCATTGATCCCATCAAATATACAAAAATCAAATTAAAATTAAAATTATATATATACATTAAAACAAAAATTAGAAGAAATATATGGTTTCAATTCAAGTTTTTCAAAAAAGAAAAAGAAAAGTATAAATCTAGGGTTTTTGAAAGTGTTGCGAAGTGGAAGGACCGATGAACTTGTGGATTTTTCCAGTACTGGAAATCATGATGATGAAACACTCGCATCGTAGAGAACGGTGAGCTCATTAGCTTTCTTGAAGAGACTGTTTCTTCTCTTAGAGAATGTGACTTGCCTGTTGGTCGGGTTCTCAAAAGCATGAGGCCGCTAAGATTTCTCAAAAGCATGAGGCCCCTGAGAGTTAAGTTTAGGGCCAGTGTTTGCTAAATTTGGTTAAATGTGGTATATATATAGCGACGTTTGTATAAAAACACCGCTAAAGAATGATTATTTAGCGGCGTTTGTGCTTAAAACACCATTAAGATATAGTATTTAGCGGCGTTTATTATATAAAAGTGCCACTAAAGTACGAGTATTTAGCGGTGTTTGTGCTTAAAACACCACTAAAGTACAAGTATTTGGCGGCGTTTGTGCTTAAAATGCCACTAAAGTATGAGTATTTAGTGGCGTTTGTGCTTAAAACGCCATTAAAGTATGAGTATTTGGCGGCGTTATACAAACGCCACTAAAGGACGAGTATTTGGCGGCATTCGTATACAAACGCCACTAAAGTATGATATTTAGCGGCGTTCGTATACAAATGCCACTAAAGTACGAGTATTTAGTGGCATTTGTGGTTAAAACGCCACTAATGTACAATATTCAGCGGCGTTTATATAAAAATGCCACTAAAGTACGTGTCTTTAGTGGTGTTTATACAAAAATGCCACTAAAGTATAGTATTTAGCGGCGTTTATATAAAAACGCCACTAAAATACGAGTATTTACCGGCATTTGTTCAAAAAATTCCACTAAAATGCCGCTAAAAACCCATTTTGCTGTGGTGAAATCATCATCCACAGGATCGACATCCTCACCAAGCGTTCCAGGGCAAGGTGCCTCAAGGTTCTCGTTAGTGTTTCTCGATCCAGAGTGGATTGATGCATAGGTCGGTTAGGAGTGTTTTGGAGAAACATACTCACCTGGGTGTCAATGGACATGGATGAGACTTGGGGTGGCGCTAACTCAGAAGGCTCCAAGCGGCCATCAGAGGAGGTGTCGGAGGGAGAGACATCACTCAAAGGGTTTTTCACTAAAGCTATAATTCAAAATGAATTTAAATACACCTCTCTGCTTGTACATCTAATGAAGATTGTCATGGATAAATTATGAATATCTCTATAAAGAATGGAGTTTCTAAGAAGTACTGAGTTTATATTCTAATTATAATGGTATTGAAGAGAGATGGAAAGTCATTTTAATCTATGATGTAATAATAAATAAAGTAATTATTAGATTTGATTTGGACGATACAATCAAATCTAAAAGATTATATCAATGAAAATTTATAAAATCACATTACTTCTAAAAATCATTAATAGTTATCATATATAAGGATGTGCATGAAATTGTGTCCAACGGGTTTCAACTTGACTTATTGAGTATGATCGAGTACTTTTAAGAAAAAATGAGTTCAAATCAAATCGGATTAGATTTTATATTACAATACATGGGTTCAAGTTAAAGTCGAGTTTATGATTAAAAATATCATACCTGATCCGATCCTATTTCTTGAGATAATATTTTACACTTTAGTTTTCAACTTTCCCTTCTAAGAGGTGGATAATAGATGCAACATATGGAACCCTAATTCTTTTTCAATTTCCTCATGAATTCTCTCTCGTTCCTTGCTCAAGATCTGATCTTTCAAATTTTGATTCACCCCATCAAAAACCTCAATCTTTCTTCGAAAGTTCACACTTTCTCGGTTCTCCGTCAGTTTTCAATTTTTCTTCCTTTACGGTTGATATTCGGGAATCAACAACAAGCTAACAACACTCAACCGTAAAATAAATTATTTGTTTTGACAAATCCCAATTATAATCTTAATTCTATCTAGATGGAACTGGAAGGAAGAGGTGATCCTAATAAATTTAGAACCCATTACCCAAGGAAATATGAGCTAAAATATTTTGGTAACTTAATCAATGACAAAATATACTTGTAACGTTTGGTAACTTTTCTCGGATCGGATTAATTGAAAATTAGATCCAACTAGACTCATAACGTTTATCCCAACTTTATAATATTAATAATTTGACGCCATCTTAATTTTTCTATTATTTGATTCACAATATTCCATTAAATAACACTAACAGAGCTTATCTCTTTGTAGAATCTAGAGAAGCATATTCGCCAACTTGCAAAACTTTTTTTTACAGAAAAAGTGAAACTCTCCACTTCACTTAGATGCTTTTTCAGTCTGTGTTAAGGAAGAGATGACCAGCTATCTTTCTCAACAACTGCTGGTTTTTGGTAATTATCTAACAAAACTTGCACGTTTTAAAGTACCAAAAAATAGAAAGAAGAAACCCTCAGCCTTTGATCCGATGTACAATGCTATACTTGCCCTTTCCTTTGATCCTTTTATCCCAACTCCAACAAGCAAACTTGCTGATGCAAAAAAAAAAAAAAAAAGTATATACGGAGGATCTATTAAGGATCCAAGGTTGGCATGTGTCTACCTTAAATTTAATTTTTTCAGATAATTATATATTTTAACAGTTGCACCCATTTTGAAATTCTAGTTGTGTCCATCTTGTATAAAAAAAATTACGTAATTAATGTATATATGTCTCCACCCAAAAAAATATTTATAAATTCATCAATATATATATATATATATATATGGTTTTATATTACTATATTAACAATAGCAATACATTATTTGTATTTTCCACATGAAAACACAAGTTCCATAAGTACACACATTTTTTTTACTTCATTGACCATAAAGACACCCTATATATTTAGAAAATTATATTGGCTAAATTACATATTTGAACACCACCTATTACTTAGTTTTTATTTTGGTTATTCAACTATTAATTTTTTTAAATTTATATCTAACGATATGTTTTGATTCTGTTTTAATCATCTGTTGTTAAAAAATTAATAGTGATGCTGACATGATATTTTTTTATTATTTTAAATGCTGGCGTGGTATTATCTTATTATAAGATATCAACATCACTGTTAGTTTTTTAACATTGTATGATCAAAATAGAATCGAAATATAACATTAGATTTGACCATGGGTGACCAAAATGAAAACTAAGTAATAGGTGGGTGACCAAATAGTTAGTTTACCCTATTATATTCCTCTGTATGGATTGTTTGCTAAGGTTTATGATGCTGAGTGTAGATGTAATCCAGGTGAGCTTCTGCAATCGCCCTTCTTCTGATACATTCTTCATCTTTCTCATTGCAATCTTCTGATCCCATCAGCTTCAACCAAACCCCAAAATCAAAATTAATAAAAACGAAGAAAAAAGGGATTTAATTTGTAGAAAACAAAGAGAGAAAGAGATATGGAAATCTTACATTTGAGATATCTTCTTTTGTATCTGTCACTAACGCAGGCCTGATGATCCCCTTAGAGGCAACCTCGTTCTCACCTGTTTACAATTTTGGCCATTTTTTTATACATAACACAATGAAAAAGCAAAGAGAAAGGAAACTAATTTAAGAGAAAAGGGTAATTTTTTCCCGTCTTTTTGGAGTTAGAAAAAAAAAACCTTGTTTCTGGGGAAGCAAGCGGAAAGCAGATGAGCAGACAAGCAAAACGAAGAGAAGAAAGGTGACAGACCCAATAGACTTTTCCTTCATCTCTTTTGATCTTATTTTTCTTTTGGTTTGTTCGGAAAAAGGATATAATATGAAATGAAGCAGAGTGGCGCAAGGCTAGTGTGTATAAATAGTAGCAAATGCTGGGATCCTCAAGTCACATGTACACCTTTGTTACCATATGTCCGAAATTTAGTTGATTTGATTTAATTATTTTTCATATAACATCTAAATTATCATGATCTTTATTCACCCATAAATAAAAAAATACTATAATTTTTAAACTACATTCTGTTATATCATCTTTCAATAGCTAACGAGTGTGTTAAAATTTAGAAATTTAAATTTATAAGACTAAGTTTGAATCTTATTATCGTCACTTTTAGTGGACAATCTGTAAATTCCGATGTAAATCTAAATTTTTTATTAAATATATCCTGACCATAGACTAGGAAAACCACCCCGAAACTAAATTTTTTGTACAAAAAAAAATATCATCTTTCAATATTATTATCTTGAAAAAAATAAAAGCTTTTAAAGATACTTTTTATAAAAAGTATTTTTTGTCTTACATATTCGACTAAAAATATATTCAAAGAATTAGATTTTATTTATTCTGATCATTAAATTTTCATTTTTTTGGTCAAATTAAACCAACTGATGAAGAAGTAACAGACCTATTAAGCTAACATCAACTATTTTGTCTTTTTGTAAATTTCTTATATTTTTAATAATTTTATAAAATTTTCAAATTAAAAAAATTGGTTTCTTATATATATATATTTTAAAATTCTTAAAATTTTAAATAATTTAAAAATAATTAAGATTAAAAATAATTTAAAAACGAGCCTGAGAGTCTCGAGACCGTGACCCCGGTGTTTATACCATTGACTGTGTATCGATACCACTACCGAAAAAATTCATGGGTTTTTGCCAATAAGAAAAACAATCTTGATACCAATCTTCTCATATCGAGACCCAACCTGAAGAGTGCACTGTTTTAGCACGAAAAATCCCATCTTTCTATAAAAAAAAAAAACCCCCAAAGAGGTCCCCAATTGATGTTTAAATGTTATGTATGTTAATATAGGTCATAATAATGCTACAAAAACATAAATTCCAAATCTACCATGAACACACTCAAACTTATGCAACCTATCAAACTCATCTAAATGATCTACATGTGGTATAAGTGAGTTAAGAGTGAGTTATCTTTGATGCTTAACTGTTGAAAACACCTAATGCTCAACCAAGGGTGAGTTTCTCATTCCCTTTAGCTTTGGAGGTTCTCTAATCTCTCTCACTAGACAAACATCAAATGATAGATTACTAGCTGAAATAAATTATTAATAAGGTAATAAGAACACTTCCTAAACCTATAGACTACTAAAAACGGGTTGAAATCTTGAAAAATCATAAACACCAAAAAAAACTTGTTATTGGCTCCCATGGTAAAATGGTGAAGTTGAGGGTTCAATTGAAAGTTCTAAAGATACTGAATTCAATCCTTACATTGGTATTGTTGAACTAGGGGTATGTAATACCCCAAAAGTTTAGATAATGACCAAAATGAAAATTTTGAAAGTTTGATGGTCAAAGTAGAAAATTGGGAAAATTTAGGGAATTAAGTGATAAATTTCCTAAAAAGAATTTTATTCCATAAATATATAGTTTACTCTTGAGAGTGGGGTTTTAAAGAAATCATATTTTTGGATTTGGAATTTTAGTAAAGAAAAAATTAGAAAGGGTTAAAGCCGGTAAGGAATCGCTAATTCAGATCGAATTGGAATTTTAAAAAAATTGGAAGGATGTTATAAAATGGTTGGAAATATTATTCTAATATTTTAGATCAGAGAAATTGGGTTTACAAATGTGCAATTTTTCAGATGTAACCGAAACAGTGGAATTTAGTGACTAAAACGCAATATTTGAAAAATTCAAGGGAAATTTCAGAAATAAAAGTCAAATTAAATCATATTTGACTTTGGAAGATGATAAGGATGAGTTTTCATGGTTTTATGGTGGATAGGAAGATTCATTATGGGTGATTTGATCTTATCTTAATTAAATGAATATTTTATTCATTTATAGTGGAATTTATTGTAAACTAAGATGAAATACACCCAACATTTCATCCAAATTGCTCATCTTTTTCTCCAAGCTGCGTGGGTTTTCTTCAAAGGTGAGAGAAAGCTTCAATTCAATTTTTAAGCAATTTCCTTAGGATTTTGAGTATGCCGTAAATAGAAAATTGTTATACGTGAAAAACGCTATCTTTTGGTACCAATATTGCATGATAATATTGTTAGTGTTCAAAGATCCCAAATTTTACATTTTGTGTTCATATTAGGGATCATAAAATTGATGATGGATCTTGATGTTTGTGAGGTAGTTGATTCATATTCAAACATGTATGATGATTAGAACATGTTTAATCTTTCTAGAACTTGTTCTTTAAGATTTCGCCATGGATTGTTTGAGTGAGAAAAATTATGGAAAAATTATATATGGGTTGAAAATGATGAAAGAAGTATTCTAAAAGTCTTAGAAAAATTCAGGGACCATTTTTATTTTTTGAAAAGTTGGGGATCATTTCGGCAACTTTGGAAATTGATGGGTTGTTGTGTAAGTGTTATATAATTGATGTATTATGCCGGGAGATTGTTTTTTGGAAATTAAAATGAGTGTTAGAATGTGAAATATGATTATTTTAGGAAGTTTGGAAAGTTTGGTGATTTTAATGTAAGTTTCGAATTGTTGGGAGTGTTTATTGTAATTATGTCTTTGTATGGGTATTTGGTTGATAATACCTTCAATACTGGAATTTTTGCATTGAAATTTTAAGTGGTAAAATGGTGAAGGACCATTTTATATATATTGGAAAAGTTGGTTCCAATGTTAAAATGAACTATTAAGTATTGAGTATTTTGATAGAAAATGAGTTTCAAGTATATTATGGAGTTAATTTAGGATATGTTTATGTTAGTACAATACTAACATATGTATCATTATGAAATTTTGATTTATACAGATCATGATTGATTTGCGATTGAAGCAAGTCTAGTATAAAAAAGGTTTATTGTGGATAATAGTGAGGTACATATTTTGAAAGATATAAAGTGTCAAGGTGAGTGCAATACATGCATGAAATTATACATGGATGTTTTATACATCATCAGGAAGACTTGCGATAAGTCGACCTTGTTTACATCAGCATGATATTATGTCATATTTTTATAAATTGACATGACATTGATATGTCATAGTGTGAAATTATAATGCATTGATCATGAATAATGTGATAATTTACAATGAATATTATTTTGGGTATGAACTGCCCAATGTTAAATGATATTGATATACTTTGCCATGGATCGATCAAATAAAAATAAACTACATACCCAAGTAGGTTATTGAGGATCAGTGGTATTAATGGCATGCCATAAAGTCTAGCAGCTGCATATTAGGTAGCACTAGAGTGTCTAGAGAAGGCACATAGTGCATGCCTCAAATTGTCTAGCGTAGACACAATACAAAACACTATGGTGTACAAGGTGGGTAAAGCCCGACCTCAGCACTATGGTGCATTATTAGGTGAGCAAAGCTCGACCTCAACACTTCGGTGTAATATTTGACTCCTATACCGGGTTCCTCATACAATTATAGTTTGGTTATGGCTTATTGGTTAATAAATGGTAAACATGAAAATAAGTTTACGAGCTTATGAAATAAATGGTAAGTATATTGGTAAAATAAGCTTACGAGCTTATGGAATAAATGGTAGTATATTGGTAGAATAAGCTTACAAGCTTATAGGATAAATGATAAGAAATTTTTATATCATTTTTTATCAGTGTAAAATATTGGATATGTTGGTAACATGATTTTATGACATTTTGAAATTGACATTGAAATTCACTGTTTATTGTTTTAATTGCCTCACTAAGTATATACTTAGCGTGTGATGATTTTCACACTTAGGTAAAAAATCCAGTAGTGGAATAAAGAGTTTAAAGTGACATCAGACATCGAGGAGTATATTAAAATATCAGTAAGACATCCTATGATGGAATTTGACTTAGATAGTGGCATGTACTTATTAATGTTTTATTTGTTTTGTTGAACAAATTTAGAAACAAAATGGAAATTTTATAGTGAAGAAAGGTTAAGTTTTTATGAGTTATATATATATTTTGTTGAAATTATTGTAGCAGTTAAAATTTTTCCATAATGCTACAGGGGTACCGATACCCTGCTACAGGTACCGATACACTCACTGTTCACGGTACTATTCATAAAAAATCTTTTGAATTAAATTTGTTATAATAAAACATAATTTATATGATATGATATTTTTATAATATCAGTTACCATTTTAAGAAAATAAATTTTAAATTGCGTTTGAATTGGAAAATGGTTTTAAAAATTTGGGTGACATCTATAATCTGTATATGTATAATTGTACAGGTTATGGGTGTTACAGGGTATATGGCCACCAAGTTATTTCCTTTAGCTAACTTACTTTAAGGAAGAATAAGAAGAAAATAAATGATGAAAGCTTGGAAGAAGACAAAGGAAATGAAGAAAAATATTGGCTTGCTCAGACGGTGATATCACCAATTTTTAATAGAAATCATCTTTATTTTTTAACAAGGGTATAATTACTTCATTGGTCCCTCCAATTTTGACAGCAGATTAAAAACACCCTTTTTATTCACTATTGGGCTATGAGAGTACTGAAGCTGCATGTCCTCCCCGGTTTCCAAAGTCGCTTCCTGATGAGTGTTCAGAATCATTAATCTTTGCTCGTTATTTCTTCGATTTTGAGGATTTATTACTGCTAAATTGGTCGTGTTATGTTTGTTTTCGTGCAGGTCCTTACTTTCCATAATTTGTGACAAAACGGGCGCATTCTGTAATTTTTTTATTATTTGTTCACGGCTGGAGACATGGGCATGACTCTGAGCATTACGCGGTGTGACGTGGCAGTTTCTAGAAGGTCCAGTCAGCGACGACTTCTAGAAGACTTTCTCCTCACGCCTTCTGGAAGATGAACGAGAAAAGTTGCATTAGGAGA